GGGAAGGGGATGTAGCAAGCAAAAACGTACTTTAGTAACAGTTAGCACTTACTGCCTACGCCAACTCTGTGCCGTGTGTTGTCTGAACCATTTACATGTGTTCACTTGTTCTCTTCTCCCCTTCCTTTGGGGGAAATGCCATTAGTACCCACATTTTACAGATAAGTAAACTGAGATGCGGAGACTTGAAATGATTCTCCCAGAGTCACATAGCTGGCAGGTGGTAGGCATAGAGATGTTTTAGTCTCAATATATAAATGGTAGATGGAACTAGGGGACTCTAAGGGCTCTCCAGGAAATCACAGAGAAACAGTAGAACTGCAGATTCAACTCTGGGGGGACAGTGAAATTAAGGGATATGCAGAGAAGGAAGAGCCATGAGGAGATACTAGGGAAGAGCAGTATTGGTGAATGTGTACAAGGGGAAAATGCCAATATGTTCAGTCGAAACAATCCGAATAGCAGCACGACGGAATTTCCTTACTAGGTTATTTACAATCCATACAGTGGATTGCAGCGCAACCTTTTACACACACACACACACACACACACACACACACACACACACACACACACACATATACTTATTTTTAGGTTTATTTATTTATTTATGGGGGCGGGGAGGGACAGAGAGAGAGGGAGAGAGAATCCCCAGCCGGCTCTGTGCAGTCAGCATGGGGCTCGACCGCACAAACTGCGAGATCACCACCTGAGCCGAAATCAAGAGTCAGACACTTAACCGACTGAGCCATCCAGCTGCCCCGCAGCGCAGCCTTTAAAAAAAAAAAAAAAAAAAAAAGTGATGTGACAGGGTAAATTTGCCTCATTGAACAAAATATTTGACACATTATATGAAAACAAAGAAGGGTACAAGTAGTAGGAGTTCATTTTCATTTCTTCAAATGTGTATGTGAAGGATGGAGGAAAGACTGGAAAGAATTCTACAGACGTATTAGCTGTTTACCTATGGGCAGCAGGTTCGTGGGTGATTTTTAAATTCCGTTCAATAAAATATGCATTAATTTGTAAAAGGAGAAAATACTGGGTGGGTGGGTGCATGGGTGGGTTGAAGTGTTTAAAGGGTGGGACTTAGTGCAAAAGGGAGAGTCGCCCCCAGAAGACTCACTTCTAATTTGTGAAACCAGAGGGAACAGATGGTGAAGTTGAGCCAGTCACCGGAAGTGCTGTGCTCAGGCACTAGGCCCTTTCTGAGTTCTGCCTTTGAGGCATGTGGCTTGGATTTCATGCTCCTGTCTCCCTCTTTTGTCTGTGCGGGTTTGGCTCACATGTGTGTCTGAAGGCTCAGTGACCAAGAATTCTCTCCCATCTGGGGGGTAAGGCCCCCTTGTTCCTTTTCATTTCTTGCTTTTAAAACGGAGGAAAATATTTCCAGCGTTTCACAAAGGGCTTTGAAGTCTAGTCACGGGGAGTACTCTGTCACCTCAAGCTGGTTGTTAGCGTGCAACCTGTTTGCTAATAAACCAATGCGGGACCCTGGTGTCAAAATGCTTAAAATGGTCGAATCAGCGGGGACTCTGTTTCTGCATTCGACATGCCTTTCCCATTTTCCAGCCTCATGCAGAACATACACCTGAATCAGGAGGTGGCTCGGCGTGAACTCTTGTAAATTGGAGTGGGTATCTAGGGACTGGGGAGCAGACACTTCTTCTTTTAACCTTTCAAGACCAGGAATCATTTGGCCCCAAATCCACAATGTACTGAACCTGGGGTGTAAAAGCCGTACAGTGTATTAAATGTGAATTTGAGCCCATGAATTCTGCCCACACTGACTCTATAAAACAGCCTCTCCTTTTCATAAAGCCGGCCCATAAACGGCTGCCAGCGAAGCAGAAAGACTCCTTAGGACTGTGGCTCGCGTTCCGTCTGGGGTTGTCAACAAACCCCCTTTATGAGTGGAATAGACCTCTTGTATGTGTCGAACTTCTGGCTTTTTACAGAGTGTGTCAGGAGCCAGGCTAGGCAAGCGTTAGGCGCTGTTTGCTGAGTGCATTTATTGCCTTTGCATAATTTATGAGCTGGAGGGGTTGACCATCATCCGTCTCTGCCAGGGGCTGGCACTCGAGGCTCCGGAGAGCGGAGCTGTAAATTGGATGGTGCGCTCCTGCTGAGCTCACGGCAAAGTCCTCGGGTCAGTATGGGAATTTAATACCAGAAATGGAACTGTTTTCTCAGCGCACCATGTGGGCCCCAGTGCAGCAGAGACTGTTTTGGCAGACTCTGCGACCGGCCTTGTCGAGGAGCTGTCACTCACCCGGCATGTTGTGTGGGGAGCCTGAGCATTTTTAATCGGCTTGGCATCCGTGCTGCTTCCATAATGGATACCAGTAGGTCTCAGTTCTTCACCATATGCTTAACTCTGGAGACAAGGTGCTTCTGGGTATATCAGTAATTACTTGATGCAGAATTAAGTGGACCTTGAAATTAGAACTGGACTGTTGGAAAGCAGAAAGCTTAACACTTTGATAGAAATAACCATTCCCAGGGACATACCGCTGTTAGGATCGGTAGGGGTGGGGGCTGGGCACGGACAGCGGTAGTTCTTTTCCAGGCTCCCCACTCCTTCCCCCTGCACACCAGTCCTTGGGGACACGGGCAAGTGCCATGCCACGGCCTTCAGCTGTCACTGATTGCCTCGCGAGGCGAGCTGGGATCATCTGGGGAGAGGAGTCTGCCTGGCAAAATATGCTTCTCTCTTTCACGCCCTCCTGAATGATGCCTTGTCACTCTTGAAATTGCGCCCGTAACTTAGGAACCCCAACGAAAGCCTAAGCAAAGGCAATGGAAAAGTCACACAATCAGGAGAACAGAACCTCATCTGTCTGTTGTTCTAGGCCTTCAAAGTCTTCATCTAACCTCTCTTGACTTATCAGAATAGAGAAATTACTCATCAGGCAAAAGGAAGTTTAGACCTTCTCAGTTTGGAAGCCTGGTTGAAAACAGTGCAGTCGTGCTTGGTTAAAGCACAGTCACTAAAACTCTGATAACCTTATGGCATTGAGGAGCCGGCGAGGACAGTGAAAGGTTAGAGCCCTCCAGTCTGTAAGTTTGTGCTGTGAGTTCCTAAATACCTACAGTAGAGAGTGTAAGCTACAAAGAGGAAGCAGTCCCCAAGTTATGTCTTATAATAGCACGCTGTCTGTTCGGATGGAGTTTTTGTTACTTTCGATGGAAAGCACTCTAATGGTGGTTTTTAAACAATAAGGTAACTTACTGTTACCTGAACAAAAATGTCCAGAGGTAGGCTGCTCTTAGGTTGGTTCAAGTGGCCCCATTGTGGCAGGCCGTTTCTTGGCCCCGCTCTCTTGTTTTAGTACTTAGGCTTTTTGCCTCATTTTTGCAAAGTCGCTACCACAGATCCAGACGTCACATCCTCGTTCAGTCGTGTTCAGAGGCAAGAGGCAAGTGCTTCTTGCTTTTCTTCTTTTTTGAGGAGAAAAAAATTTTTTCAGAACCCTCAGCAGACATTTCCTCAAGTCTCAGCCAACGGTGTGTCTTATGGCCACCTTAGCTATAAGCAAAGTTGGAAAAGAGAGACTATCTGGCCTTTTCAGTCTCAAAATGTCAGAAGCTACAGACTAGGGGACAGGGGCTTGCAAATGACTATGGGTATCTAGCCAGTAGTGACTGCTGTATAGGCAAATTTATTTTCTGTTTCTGTTCATAGCTACATCAACTCCCATGTCCAGGTGGCCACACTAAAAACCTTGGCATCATCCGAGACTCGTCCCTCTTCCTTGCTTCTCGCATCCATGTGTTACCACGTCCTGTTGGTTCTGCCTTCAGAGCTACTCTGCCATCTGTTCCTCCCTTTCTTAAACCATGTGTCATGCTGGTTTAGACAGTGTTGTAAGGGTTGCCAAACTGGTCACCTGTGACCAATGTCTTCTTCCCAACCCCAGCTCATGATCTCTCCTCTGCCCCGTGGGAAGAGTCATCCTAATGGACTATAGCTCTCATCACACCACACCTCTGCTCAGTGTTAGTGTTATAGCTTTCCCTCTGCTGCTAAACTGAAAGCTACCTTAGGGCCAGTCCTGCGTCCTGCTTGGTTGAGTATCTGTCTGGCTTAGCAGTGCTCATCAAGGACTTTTGAGTGAATGAATGAATATTTTTATCCGTTGCACATTTACTGTGACAGAATACATCCTCCCCCCCCCCTTTTGCAATCAAATGGGTAACAAACACTCTTGGTTTAAAAAGAAAATGTGGTTTTATTTTTTCCCCCTTTGCCTCTAATGAAGAAGCCCAAGTTTTGAGTTAACTCACGTTCTTTGCTTATCCCAAACTTAGCTGACCAGTTGGAATTTGGGGTCAGTTAGCTACAATGTGACTCTACCGTCTTAAAATAGATTTCTTTGCCCATATTGCTGATTTATTTCCCTGACCGCTTCTTATCATTGGTGTGTTTTTTATAGGGAATATTCCCTCTTTTCTCTGGGCCTCTAAGCCACAGAAAAGGCAGCCATCACAAACTGGTGAGCTCTGCCCACTGTGTTTCTTCCAAAGTCCAAATGAGCGAATACGGTGTCCGGAGGCTTACCTCTTTTCCTGTGCAAAAGCACCGGGAGAGATACAACCATTCACATTAGCTGAAGGTAGAAGGTCTCCATTAAGATATCAATTTGCTCCGAATCCCAGTGAATGACCTTGATGCACCTTAGCCCTGCCGCCGCATTGGCTCCTTGATGGGCATCCCCTCTCCCGTGCAGTGGGGGTGCTCACCATTGTGATCCAGCACCTTGCCAGACTGACCACAGAAAGAGGCACAGAGCGCAGGCGTCGAATGAAGTCAACAGAGCACCTTCACAGCATTTCGCTTCTGATTCTGTTTATCATCGTTTGAACTGAAGAAACTCTGTACAGCTTAGGCAGCATTTTTTTATTTCCTCTATTTGTCTTTCCTCTTTTTTTTTCTGTATCAAAAATAAAAATCTACTCAATTTTTTCACTAACCCTTATTCTCTTATCTTTCTTTTCAGTGTGACAGCGACAGTGACCAGGAAGAGAAGGTAAGATCCCCCCGCCCCGCCCCACCATTGTGGGCAGAGTCGCGCACCGTGGTTCTCGCACACGGTCACAGGGTGGTGGGATACCAGCCTGCTATTGACCGTACCTTTTCTGCAAAGACCAGCTTTATTTACACAGCGATGTTTCCTGTGATAAGAAATAATGTATTTAATATGTGAGGCCCACTTTTTTTAAACACACCCGTTAATATTGGATATATCGTCATCAGGTTTTCACTTTTACAGATTTTAAAAGAGGAAAGCATTTTAATAGCCATCTGATTTTTGTTTTTGAATCCTTGATTAGAACATTAAACTTGCTAGCCTGCATTTGTAATGTCATTTCTTCATTTCTTTTACTGACCTCTATGCTTCTTCTCGCCTTACTGTACATATTGGCCTTCTTGATGGAAATGTGAACGGTGTGTTTCTCGGAATCTTACCGTGGGACGAGGGGTGGGCAGGGCAAGGCAGGTGGGAACTGCTATCTTCCCGCCCAGGTGGACGGCCAGGTGGGAGGGCGGTTCTTCCCACAGGTACCCGCTCGGTGTGGAGGCTGATGGCCGCCAGCCTCTGTGCGTCCAGTTCAACATGGATCCGGAAAAGGAGCTCAGTTGTTGAGCTTTCAGAAGATTGGATCACAGCCCGGTAAAGTGAACTTTCTGTGCTTGAAGCAAAGGGATTATTTGTCCGTTTGGTCTTTCTTTCTAGCTGTCCCCACCCCTCAGTCAAATTTCTTGCTAATTTCATTCCTCCCTTGTGAACCTCATCAAGAGTTACCCGAACGTCACGGTTTCTATATTGCTTGGCCTCCGAGGGATGGGACCTCCCCGGTTTCCGGGTCTGTCCTGTGGAGCTGGTGTTCTTGAGCCCCATTCCGTGCCTTTCACCTCCTATGTGCCTGTGGATTTCACTCAGAACCCCGCAGTTCGTGTTTGGCGGGATCTTCCCAACAGGCCCAGAATTTTCCCTCCTTCTCTGCTGCTAGCCTCCAAGAGAGATCTAAAGGCTCTGGTTCTGTACTGTCGTTAATTTGAATTCAGCATATGTAGCCTGTTATAAAATGCGAGACATCATCATTTGAGCAGGTCAAGCATATTCAGATGAAGACAAATGGTGCTTATTTGATTTCCTTAAAATCAGGAAATGAAAAAAGTGCTCTCTGGAGAAATCATGTTCTGCCTGACTTGGATGATAGACCAATGCATGTCCCCTAGATAAGAACAGGCTCTCGCCTTGAGGTTTTTATCTCTGAAGGACGGCCAGGACTGTCAGCTTGCTGACATGTGCATTATCCATGTCATTTTAAACAAAGTGACCTATGGAAGGGTGCGCTGTGCTGTGACATGGTAATGGGCTGTTGGATGACAGTGAAAGTACACACTGCAAAGGGGGCTGTGGATTATTCTTTTGTTTAACTGACAAGTAGGAGCTTCCTTCCTCCAGCCCCTGGGAGTCTCAGCTCCTTGCAAGCCGGGCCCCTGGTGTCTCAGGCAACCGGCGTGCAGTGGGTGCCAGAGGCGCGCGGGCAGCAGTAGAGGCTCAGTGTCCGAGGCGCATCCGCTGGTCCTGGAGCCATCCCGGCCACATTCCCACCTGGCAGTCGTCACGTCGTTCTGTCGGGCGTCACAGGCACTAGAGAGGGATTGGTGCTTTCTGGCCGTTCCAGGGGATCTTTTACAGGTGATGGTTGATCTCTCTTTTCAAGCCGGTGGCACTTCTCCAAGAGGATGAGCCTTGTTCTGGATTTCACATCCAAGGGGACATTCTTTCTTTAAAAGGCAGTGTGACATCCCAAAGTGTCACTGGTCCCCAGCAGTGGGAGAAGGTGATAAGGTTTGTCCTGTTGCATCGCATGCAGGTGTCTGGGTCAGCGGTCTCAACCTTGAATGCACATCCGAATCATCCGGGGTGGGGGTGGGGGCTGTAAAAATCCTGATGCCTGGGCCTCATCCCAGGCCACTTACCTCAGAATCTCTGGAGGTGCCTAGCAGTACTTGTCCAGATGGTCACCTAGCTCTGGTAGAGCTGTCTGTGGTTTGCGGAGTGTCCTGGGGGCCATGGTGTTTCCTACACACTGACCGCATCCCAACGAGTCCTTCCCCAGGACCCGAATCCCCGTGTCCTTGCTGCCCCGGTTCCCAACTCTGAGCGCGGGAAGCAGCGAAGCATCTGAGTGGAGCAGTGGCGGCGGGAAGGGAGCAGGGCCCACCGCTCAGAGTCAGGGACGACTCCAGGGCAACGAAGGAGAATAAGGAGATGTTTATAGCAGGTGCACGAGAGGGGTGACGACCGGCGAGGGGAGAGCCGTTAGGAGTGTTCCTCGGACCCGCCACCCCTGGGGGCTCTGCCTGTGGCCTGCGGTGGCCCTGCAGGCCCTCCTCCTGGCAGGGAGCCGCTCCCCGCCCTCACTCCCATCATCTGTCCCTGCCCCGCCACGCGCCACCCTGCGTTCCTCCAGAGGGCTCCCGGCAGGAGCAATCAAGACTGTAATCGCAGCCGTGCCTGCTTGGCTCTGTTACAGTTCAGACTGTCAGGCTTCCCCTTTTGGACTGAGATTGTCTGGTGTTTATCACCGACTTCAGCACCATCCTCCCAGACTTGTGCTGCGCGCCGAAGCCCCGGCCCCTGGCAGCCTCCTCTGTGCCTGAGCCTCTTGGCTGGGCCCCCCCTCGGAGCCCCAGAGCTAACCGAGGCTGCTTTCATGTGCTGCTGGGAGGATTCGCATTCAAATCTGAATTGCTAATGGGGGGAAAGATGCCACTCAGTGTCCTGGGATCCCTTCAGCAGCCTCACCAGGGATGCTGTTGGAGGCAAAAGTGAGACTTGTAGGGACCCACTGGGATTTCTCTCCGGAAGACCTGTCATTCTCTTACTCCATGGGGATCTGCAGAACCGGCGGTCTAAAATTAGGGTACTGTATTTCACACAGCTGACTGAATTAAGATAAACTCTGCTTTCCTCTGATACGAAGCTGTAATTTATAAAATGATACCCTTACTAATTAATGTGGAAGTGACTGGGAAAGGAGCGAAAAAAGCAGAGCTCCCCACGCGTGCAGGAGACGCGCTTGTGCACGGAAAAGGCTCTGATGAGACGCTGAGCAAAAAAGCACCTCTCAACGCCCCCTCCCAGCCGCGCGGGGTACGTTTCGCACTAGTGCCAGAGAACCTGGAGGACTTGGCCAGGGTCGGCGTTGGGCAGGAGTGAGAGAAGGCTATGGACGGTCCACATCCTAGATGTGGGATTTTTCTGTGTTGTAGTTAGTGTAAAGCAAGGAGGAAGCGCTTTGCACCTTAATCACCCAAATGAAGCAATTATCCCAGGCTCCCATTCGAAATGAATTGCTATCATGAGAACAAAGAGGCAACGTGCATATTTCCACGTATTTGGCCTGCATTTTCTCTTGTTGCCTCTCTTCCTCTACCGCTGGCAACAGCCCATTATACTAAGAAACATCCCCTGTTTGGTTATGAAATTAATGTAGAGATTAAAAGTAGTTCCTGTTTATTGTGTGGGCCACAGGGCAAAATTGGTTGGAAGGCGTAATGCCCGGTGGTCAGGCACTTGGGCCTCCGAGTCCGGTGGCTTAGGCTGGTGCGTGACTGTCCTTTCCTACTTTGGAGCAGCGGACAAGCCTCCGTGCTCTCATCTGCCCAATGGGATTAACAACAACTCCACCTACAGTTTTGTAACAATTAAAGAAGACGCTTGACTCAGTTCCTCGTCTCTGGACCAGTAAGTGCCCATAAACGTTGGCTTTCTTGAGTTTTACTTGGAGGGAAGTGAGAGACTCACTCGGGAAAGGAGGAAGGCCACCCTCTTCTTCAGAAGGCTCCGGATCTGCCGGAAAACCTGCCTGAGGACGTGAGGCCTTCATCCCCTAGGGCACTTCTTTCTGTTACAAGCTGAATGGAAGTGGTGCGAAATGTGGAAGGTCTCCCCCCACAATGGCTTTGAAACTCCTTATCCCAAATTTCAGGCTTTCCCCTGGGCACAACCCAGAGCCAAGCACAAGCGTGCCATCCCGCAGGAATCTGATGGCAGCTACGTGGCTTGTAGAGCCCGTGGCCCACATGCCAAATACTGTCAGCTCCGGACACCCGTCACGGGGGAGAGGGGCCCATGCGGGACATCTGGGGTGGGGCCGTAGCAACTGTATTTTTTGAAAAGTTTCCTAAGTAACCTCGATACGCGATTTGTCTTGAGAACCACGGCCTTATACAAATGTCGGAGAGAAACACTTACTTTCCCCTTGTTTAGGGCTCTGAACAGCTTGATAGCCCGGAAGAAAGACTCGAAAGCTGTAGAGGTGTCGTGGGGGTAACGTGCACCCACGTGCTTGTGTAGAGCTAACATGGAGTATACACACACGCAATACACACGTATGCGATCTCTTCGCCGATAGGAGCCATCCTCCTTTTCCTAACGTGCCCGTGAACATGATGGCGGTTTCCTCTCTCTGGGTTTTGAACACCTGGAGAAGGTTGTGTGGTTCCTGTGACTTGCTCACCAGTACCCGGGACATCCTGCCGGGACGCTGCCAGGTGCACATGCAGTGCTACTGATTTCCCACACCAGCTCCCTCTCCCCCCCCACCCCCACATGAACACACTTCTTGGTGCGTTCTAATGTTTTGATGTGTGCTAAAATGTGTTGTGTTTGATCATTTTGTGTTCACTTGTGTGGGAAGGGGGCAGCTTCTAAGAAGAGCAGCGGAGGCTTATGTTCCTAACTCCACACAAACCACACGCCTAACTTGGCTTCTGAAGGACTCAGAAACTGCTGAGATGGCAAACTGAAGACTGGGCATGTGGCTTGTGCTTATAGTGGAAGGGGCCCATGCCTTGATTGGCCACAATGCACACTTGGTAAAGATTGTGCACCCTCAGCAACATTCCAGAAGCTCACTGTTGCTTGTAGAACCTCAGTCCTTGGTTTTAAAATAGGACCTGTTCTGATCAGGAGACAATGAGAGACCCTGTCCTATTTTGGAAAAAAAAAGGGATTTTCTCCCCCCCTTCCAATTTTCTAGCAGCGAAGCAAGCGACCACGGTCCAGGACAAGAGCGGGGAGCCGTGTTCTTGTGTCCTTGGCACTTGGCATAGTGCCTGGCACAAATTAGGTGCTCAGTAATGTTTGTTGCTTTGCTAAATGGGCATTTGCTTTTCCTGGATCTTCATCTCCAGATGGAGGGGAGAAGTGAAACGGGTTCAGAAAACTGATGTTGAACGTGAGCGTGCTCTGCATCAATCCCAGTGTTTATTTTCTGGACTGCAGCAAATAGGTGCTCTCTTCTTCAGCTTTCTGGATTCCCTGTACAAGTTTGT